TAGGATTCTAAACACCATGAAATAATCATCTTCCATTCTTTCCCAATAAGCGGAGGGACAACAGAACATAAGCCATTTCCCTTTAAACCTCTTTAATTTAAGTGTTGCTACACCTTAAAAAAAAAAAAAAGTTCACAACCAACAGAATATGTAAAGTAAATCACTATGCAAAAAAAAAAAAAAAAAAAAAATAATAATAATAATAAAAAAAGAGACCACCTACTCAATTAACATACCTTGTAAACATTACGCTGATCTGGGTTATAGAGAGCAAATACATGGCGTCGTGACATGAAGCCCTGCTCAATGTCCTTCAGCTTCAGTCCATCGAGCATGAGCATATACTTCTTATCTCTCTCATCCTCATCCTAGAGAGACAAGAGTTATATATAAGAGCCAATATGATACTTCATTCATGCTGTGATTTTACATCAAGAATAAATAATTAAATACATTTACTAATAACGAGAAAGGAAAGTTGGAAATAGTAGTAAAAAACTAATTGCAATAACAAAAATTCTATATTTCAGCAAACCCCATATATCTTATAATATACTACAAAAATGTATATTAACAGAAAAGAAATGTAAAGAAACTGCAACTGCAGCAATTATCTCAGTGAGAGAGAGAGAGAGAGAGAGAGAGAGAGAGAGAGAGAGAGAGAGGAGAGAGAGAGAGAGAGAGAGAGAGAGAGAGAGAGAGAGAGAGAGAGAGAGAGAGAGAGAGAGAGAGAGAGAGAGAGAGAGAGAGGAGAGAGAGAGAGAGAGAGAGAGAGGAGAGGAGAGGAGAGAGAGAGAGAGAGAGAGAGAGGAGAGAGAGGAGAGAGAGGAGAGAGAGGAGAGAGAGGAGAGAGAGAGAGAGAGAGAGAGGAGAGAGAGGAGAGAGAGAGAGGGAGAGAGAGAGAGAGAGAGAAGAGAGAGGAGAGAGGAGGAGAGAGGAGAGAGAGAGAGAGAGAGAGAGAGAGAGAGAGAAGAGAGAGAGAGGAGAGAGAGAGAGAGAGAGAGCGAGAGAGAGAGAGAGAGAGAGAGAGAGAGAGAGAGAGAGAGAGAGATCTGAGAGAGAGAGAAAGAGGAGGAGAGGAGAGAGGAGAGAGAGAGAGAGGAGAGAGGAGAGAGGAGAGAGGAGAGGAGAGAGAGAGACAGGAGAAGAGGAGAGAGAGAGGAGAGAGAGAGGAGAGAGGAGAGGAAGAGGAAGAGAGAGAAGGAGGAGGAGGAGAAGAGAGAGGAGAGAGAGAGAGAAAGAGGAGAGAGAGATTAGAACTGACTGACAATAAAACAGTTAAACTCACCTTGTACCAAGACAAAGACTCAGACGTGAGAACAAACCAGTAGTCACGGGAGCCTCCCTTCATGAAGCCCAGGTTGGAGATGGACATGTAGCCCTTTCGGATCACCTGGTTCCCCAGCTTACGTCCAGACTTGCTGGAAGTCTCTGAGGATTGCTGGGCACTAAAGGAAGAAGAAGAAAGGAATCAGCTGTGTGATTAGAAATGACAGAGGCATTATAGTTGCTTGTAAAAAAGCAGCTGTATAATATTCCTTCTATGGACTTAAGAGTCAATTTATGAAAACTTGCTTTAATCACACTGCAAATATCCTATTTCTATTTTATTTCCACTCTAGTAATCCCTTCTCCCTGAATAAAAACTGAATTTTAATACTACCTACTTCTTTTTTACAGATATTATATTCATTACATATTTTACATGATGATCATTAAAGCATAACCTAACAAAATTCATGGATGTATTTGCGCAAACTACGTACACAACTTTAACCATATTATTTTTCCATACTATGACAGCCCAAACAAAAACAACAACAAAAAAAACCCTCAATTTTGTCTACATGATTCAATTCCTAGTTCGGTGACAAAAAAATCTCTCAACTGTACAATTCATGGAGAAAGATCATAATCGTTAATACCAATAATGATTACCCAGTAATGTTCATCATGTTTTCACTTTAATAAGTTATACCATTTGACACAATAACTGCAGTGACACACTAATCGCAAGTGGTAAGTATGCAAGTACGAGAAAATTAATCTTTTACATGACTTACATTACTGGAAAAAAAAAAGTTGCGCAAGATGCTGATCATTCCCACGTCATGCAAAAGAGAAACAACACTGCATGTGACAAGATGTAAGAAAATTAGTCAAAAACACAAAAAATGTATATAAAATTTGCCTACAAGGGATTAGGAACTCAAAGTGCCATTTGCTAGAAACTACCCATAGCATTACTTTTAAGGCTTTACTCATAACACATACTTGCCTTACACACTATGAAACACACACACAAGTATTCTACAAGCCTCTTAATAAAACAGCGGTGACCCTCTCATACTAAAAGCATTTTCCACACATCATACTCCATGTACTACAACCAAACCACTTTTATTAGTCTTCTTAAAAGTACTGACATAGCAAAAACCATTGGGGTCTTGCACAATTAAAAAAAGGAAGCAACATACGAGTCTTGCCCATGCCACAACAC